TACGCAGTTGTTCAGGCCCCACCGGGCGTATGCACAGACATACTTTGACGACATCTTCTTCCGGGGCGCGAAAGGACAGATGAGGAAAACCAAATCGTCGCGGTGCTCGAGTGCATGCGCCGAATAAGCTGTAAGGTAATGCCGGAAAGTGCATTTTTGGCACGGAAAAAGTTCCCTTTTAGAGTACTTCATTGGAAAGCGTGGCCTTCGAGCAGATCCCGCTAGGGTCAAGGCCATTGTGGACTGGCCGGTTCCAAAGAACCAAAAGGACTTGCGCAAGTGGCTTGGCCTCGCCAACTGCTTGCACAAGTATAGCTAAGATTATGCTGAAATGGTATGGCCATTGTCTGATCTCCTTAGGAAGATGCGGAATGGGTGTTGGGACATTGAGCATCGAGAGGCTTTTGACGGGGTCAAAAACAGCCTTCTTCATGCAGGCGTTGCCAGACCCTGATCGTTTTATCAGTGTCGTGTGTGACGCTTCAGACTTTTCCCTCGGATGTGCACTGCTGTAAGCAGACGCCGAGGGGGAGATAGGATGATCGCGTTCAAAACTCGCCAGCTTCAGGTCGCAAAAAGAAACTACTCAGTACATGACAAGGAAATAATTGCGATGAAGTGTGCACATATCAAGTTCAGGGTGCGCCTGCTTGGCTCAAAGCCGTTTGTGATCTTCACAGATTACGCGTCACTACGCACTTCGACTCAGTCGCCTCACCTCTCGCAGAGGCCAGATGGCTCTCATACTTTGCAAAATATAAATTTGAGGTGAAGTGTAAGCCAGGAAAGCAGAATGCTTTGGCTGACGCGTTATCGCGCAGACCAGATGTGAGCTTGCTCATGTTACGACAGTGACGTCGTCCGTGATGGTGTTGATCCGTGCCACTTACGCGGGTGATAGTATGTGCGTAGCGCCGCTACATACTCTCGGGATCAAGGAGTCCGAAAACTCGGACAAGAAGTTGTCGGCGCGTTTACGCGTACGGTTACACCGGTATTCATTGAATAACGGGTTGCAGAAATATAACACTGACTCGACGGATACGCCACGAATTGTGGTTCTTCGTGATGAGAACTTTAAGTACTGTGTCCTTCAGGATACCTTCGAAACTCTACTTAAAGGTCATCTCTGTCGTGAGAAGATCTACAGCTTTGTGAGTTGCCTCTACTGGTTGCCCAAGCTGTACAATTGAACGAGCACATATGTGCGCACGTGTGAGACGTGTCAAAGGGTGACTCTTCGAAGGACATCTCGTCAGACTCAAGAACAGCATCCACCGCGAGAATAGCTTCGAGGATGACGTCGCCGTCTTTCCCTCCTGTCATACCGTTGACAAGGGTATATAGCGGTGTGCTATCGTTTACGGTAGACACACCATGGGTCAGGATCGAAGCCCTACGTCTACAGATATCATACGGCTTTGCCGTCTTCTCTCTGTAGAGATTTCTCATCGAAATAAGAACCCGGCGTCGTCCAGTGTCTCCACTCCCTACCCTTGACGTTATTAACAACATCCGACGAAGAGCTGCTATTTCCGTTGTCTTCATCCAGTGGTAACGTGCCACTCCACGCGCATCAGCCGAGCCTTGCCTAGAATGCCTTGGAGCTCGTCCGACGATGCCACTCTTGGCGAGCAGCAACCGCTTCGAAACGTGAGCAGTGCTCAGTGAGTTACCTACCACACCACGCGCATCGCGAGGTCTCGCATTTGATGCCTTAGACCTCGTCCGATCATGTCATTCTTGACACGCGGCAACTGCTTTGTAACGTGAGCAGTGCTCACTGATATACATGACACTCCATTTGATTCACTGAGGTCTCGCCCTTGATGCCTCGGTCCTTGGCCGACCATGCCACTCTATGCTGCGTCTGCTCCAATATTTGAGCAGCGCTCTGTGGGTTATGTACCACTTTACGTTCAGCCCGCGAGACACAATCGGGACTCTTGTCCAAAACATCTTCGGTGTTCGACAATTCGGATACTTCAATATCTAGCACATTGACCGTCCTGGTTCATTGCCCGCATCTGTAGCGCTTCTGCTTCCTAGCAGAGGT